GAACATATAGATTTTAGGGTGGGAGACACAGCTCATTCCCTTTGTACCAAACGTATTGAAGACAAAATAGCAAGGATCAAAATATAATGGTACATAGAGGGTTAAAAATTTTGGTCTATTAGATGAAAAGGCATTTGTTTGTGTTTTGGAAATCTCTGAACAGATTGAAGCTTGGCAGATACTGTGAAATGGAATTCTAAGAATAAATTGTTTTTGAAAATTATTGAAGTAGGATGTGATGAAGGAGGAAAGTCCTGATGGCAGAGGTGGGGTGCAGTAAAGCCTTGTTCTCACTGTAATGGTTAATGACATCCCCTGGGACCAGAATTCAACGCAGGAATGGGAACACTAGTCATTTGGCCAAGAGAGTGAGGGACTGCCCTGACTGACAGATGGAAATTCCAGGCACTGCCAAGTTGAGACTTGATTGATGAAAAGGTAGAAAAAGGAAATTTGCCCTCTTTCTAGCCAAAAAAAAAAAAAAAAAAAAAAACTGCCCTTATCTGCCTTCTGGATCTCAGGGTTTCTTAATTAAAAGAGGCTTCATTGGTAGAGTTTCTTAATCACAACCTGTATGGTCCAGGAAGACCTCCTGCCCAGGACAAAATATAAAGAGAGCATATTTCTAGTCAGCCTGGCTGGATGAAAGGGGTTCATAAAGATTACATTGTTCTTGTACTGTTCCAATATGTCTTCATTCTGTGCACTCTTTAGTCTTCTCCCTGTTCATCTATGTCCTCTAAGTAGTATTCTGTGATAGGTTAGTGGAACTCATATCCCTTATCTCATCCAAGTAGCATTCTGTGATAGGTTAGTAGAACTCATCTCCCAGCCATGACCATGGACACTTCTTTTGGTGACTGTGTGGGTGGTGGTGTTAGATCTATTAGTTGCTTTTCTCACTACTGATATCAAAAAGCTGACAACAAACAACTTAAGTGAAGAGATTATGTTGGCTTCTAGTTTAAGGGGACACAGCCCATCATAGTAGAGAGGGCATGGCATCAGGAGCTTGAAGTGGTTGTCCACATTGGATCCACAGCACCCGGGCTGGAGGGAGGAGTGGGAAGTGAGAATCAGGTTCAAGTGCATGCAAAAACTCTTGGTACCTGAAGACTTTACATTGTACAGTAGTCTACAACAGGGCAACCCAGGCTTAATGTTTCCTCAGTACAGCAGCTTTGAAATGATGTCATATTTCTTGACAGTTCTTTTTCCACTCACAGGGATTTACATGATTTAAAAGTTTTACAAATAAACTGAATTTTTACTGAGATTATGACGTCAAAGTATTTCACATTTGCATATTTAAAGTTGGCACATGTTACGACAGCTGTGGTCTGCAATAGGCAAGGGAGATGAGATACTGAGCAAACCGGCTCCGTGTAAACTCATGCTGCTCTAGAAGATGTCAGAACTGGACTCCAGGAGAATGAAGAAACATGGATCATCACTTTTGTCATGTTTCCTTGGTGTTTGGTAGCCAGTTTGTCTTCCTGTGTCTACATCCCCTGAAGCTGAACCCCATCCTCCATGGTTGCCTCTATGTTGATCTTCTGAAGCTCATTGAAAATTAATGCTCATTATGATATTAAGATTATGACCATGTGGGATCTTTAGGAAGTGAATAGAGAGAGGCTGAGGATAAAGTTCTTGGTAGAAAAGTGCTTGCTGTACAAGCATGAAGGCCTGGGTTTGATTCCCAACACTCACAGGGGAAATGCTTACAGGTGAAACAGAATGTGTCTGTAATGGTAATGCTGGCAAGGAGACCACAAAAGACTTGCTGGCCAGTCTAGACAGCTGATACTGATCTCTGGCCTCTACATGCACACATGTACACATACAAACCAGCACACACACACACACACACACACACACACACACATACGATTGGGGCTCTATTTTCATGCATGGATGAGTCTATTTAGATAATGAATGAGGTCATGACTAGTGGATTCTTTCAATTGGATTGATTTAGTATAAAAGCTGCTTTAGTGGGGTCCGTTGTGTATCCCTTTTACTCTCCATACAACACTCTACATATCTTCAGACTCTACCAGCAAGAAGCCCATTGCCAGATGCAGCCTCTTGACCTTGGATCAGAACCAGAGCCAAGATAAAGTCCATCTTCATAACTCAGCTAATGTATATTATATTGATAGTAATAGAAGAGAAAGATAACTTCCATTAATTCGTTGTATCGCATAATCCATTCTTGTAGTTACTCACCATTTCCCAAATCTCCTGATACCTCACCCCCATCCTAAATTCATTATGATGCTTTGCCTTCTTTAACTGGAGGGTTCCATCTTAAACATGGAGCTTTAAGCCTTTCAGGGGAGAGGTTTCCCATAGATGACAGCTTTAAAGAAGGTGGCCTCTCCACACAGCCCATACAGGTCAGCCAGCCTAAAAATGTGACCTGTGTATCACCCTGAATAAACTCTTTCCTCTGTCAATTCTGGAACAGTATGATGTATCTCATAACTGCTTCACGAGTACTTTCAAGAATAAGGAGGGGGGGGAAGCATAGGTTAATTCTGCTGGGAGCTCTCTTCCATGCTTGTGGTGTCCTTTGTGGAAGATGGGACAGAGATCTCCTTATAAAGGTCTAATTCCATCATGGAGGCACCGCCATTTATGACCTTACCTCAACCCTTCGATGTCCCAAAGGTCTGCCCCCAAATACTGTCACTTTGAGACTGACAGCTTCAAAGCAGGAATTGGAAGGTTTGTTCATTTCTTAACAGTGGGCTTTGAAAAGTGTGCCTCATGAGATTTTTTTTTTTGGAAGTATAAAGTGATTTGCAAATTTAAAATTTCTTTTTAAATTAATATTGTTACTTTTTCCTGTCAAGTTTCTAAACATTTCCCCAGAGTCCTGGTTTCTAAGGAAACCAAATTCTTCCTGAGCGATACTCAGAAGTATGCAATGTGAGGTTTAAGAAGTAGAATGTTCAATGTGCAGATGGTGAGGCTGTGACAGCACATACCATCCATTGATGCTGATGCTGATCTTTCACTGCACCGATGCCCCTTGGCCATGTACATATTCTCATTTTATAAACTCCATCAAGACCTTAAATATCCCACTGCAGAGAGAGACCTTCCGAGAGTAAGAAGCTGGGCAGATGAGGTTCAAAGCAGGCAGAGACATGGGCAAGGTTGGGTTGTGGAATGCTCATTCAGCAGGTGAGATGGTGGGAAGGATAAGGATGGCTGCCTGTCCTCCGGCCGCTACAGAAGAGACAAGGGTGACAGGATGGCCAGCGATTGGAGGGCGTCATTGGAATTGGGGTTTCTAGAACCCCAAGGTTTTCTAGAAATATGAAGCATGTAGAGAATTTGATATCATTTTCCAAGACAGGATATCTTGGAAGCTTGGGGCTCACCAAAGGATAGATTGTTTAGACAGCATGGTTGTCAGAAAATGCTATCATCTTTATTCCATTTCCATTTCTTTTCACTCTGGGTTGCTTTTTTTTTATTTCTGCTGAGCATCTCTCCCATCTAGATAGTCAGTTTGCTTTGCAAGGAAAACATTCTCCAAGCACATTACTTCTAAGAACAACTACAGGTGATGGAATAAAACTGGAAAACACAGATCTTTTATAGCTGCAGTTGTTTTTATTTTCATTATTAGCTTTTTACATAGACAGTTTCAGTGGATCCATTATTCTACATTAATTGCATGACTTGCAGAAAGGAATCATATCCTCATGTCTGTGTGTGCACTCCTAACATCTATCTTTTATTATATTAAAACTGTAAAAAAGGGAGTTGTTTTAAAAGCTGGTTTATGGGTTTAATATTTCTAATAAATATGTTTTTATATGGCTTTAAAAGTTTGGAGATTTTTAATAGTATGTCCCTTGAGTTTCTTTCCACAGTGCCTTAATTACTTAGACAGAGCATTGTTCTTTTAGTTACGCATACATTCTCAAACTTGGAAGGTAGTTGGTTGGTTCTGCTCTGGCTCTGCTTTTTTCTTCCTCAGGGTTGCAGCAGCATAGGGTGGTCCACTAAGAGGTGTGAAATGGCAGGGTCAGAGCCAGCGTATCGCCCGCCCTTAACTGTGCCCATCATACGTTCACATTTTGATGCATACTAAAAACACCAACCCCATCAAATGAAATATAAAACTCAAAGCAAATTAGAGTGAAATGTTCTCACCAGCACACATGAGAGCTGTGTGATACAGTGCCCTTCTTTTCATTATTTTATTTTGAGTCAGAGTCTCACCATGTAACCCAAGCTAGCCCCAAACTTGCCACCTTCCTGCCTCTGTGACCCAAGTCTTGGGCTTTCACCTATGCATCACCACACCTGCCATCATGACTTTCTCTGCCCTCTTTCTTTTCTGCAAATCTCTAGTGGCTTTGAGAGCGTGTTAACTTTCAGGAGTGTACACCTAGCCCATTGTTGAAAAGATTAACAAGATTAATTCACCCACTGAAATCCAAAGATCTACAAGGCACTCATGTACTCAGTGTCTCAGGGCCTAACATTGATCAAGAACACAGACTCCCTGTTGGAGGGCCAGTATATTGCTCCCAATACTGTCTTGTAATATAAGACACACCTACCCACCCATACACACAAAGATATCATCAGTCCATTATCATCTGCTTATATTAGATAATTCTTAGCCAGGGAGGCCATTTCAACTTTATATTGTCACAGCAGAATAGACAATAGCGGTCAAGGCTATTGTCCATTCTTAGGAATGGATATGCCACAAGTCCTGGGGGGGGGTGTTGTTTTTCTACTTCCTTTTATTCTACACATTTTTACTGCTGTGAAATAGGGACCTTTTCTAGAGATTGCTCCTGGGTGAAAGGTAGGGCAAGCTCTAAACTCAGAATTGGGTATATACTTTAAATTTACTTTTAGAAATGAAGTTTGCTTAGTCTCCCACTGATAACTCTTAGTTATGATTTTGCTGCATCATCCAGCAGCCCTCCATGTTTCTAATGTCTCACTTATTTGTTCCACAGTGTGTCTGGTGGAGAACTCTTTGATCGGATAGTGGAGAAGGGATTTTACACAGAGAAAGATGCCAGCACCCTCATCCGCCAGGTCCTGGATGCTGTGTACTATCTCCACAGAATGGGCATTGTCCACAGGGACCTCAAGGTGAGGCGTTGCTCAGCAATACTACCCAACTATTTCACAACCCACAATGCATCTGCTGGAGGACTGGCTGTGGCAAAGGGATAAGGATGCTTTGGGAAGAGATAGGTGGAATGGGAGGTTGTATACTTTGTGGGTGTCAGTCATTGAGACCCAGAAGTAGCTTAAATGAGAATGAAGATCAATGTAGCTGGTTGTCTAAGAAATTCTGTAGCCATTAGGCAGCCCACAGGGCCATAGAGAGGTGGTTGTGTGTTAATACAAGAACTTCCAAAAGAACATTCTGTATGTGGCAAAAAAAAACAAACAAACAAAAAAAAAAAACAAAAAACAAAAAACAAACCACGGAGACCCTTCACCCACTGTGCTGGTTAGGTTAGGTTTTGTACAGGGCAGGGATGTCATTTTGTTTGTTTGTTTGGCCAGTTTGACACAAGCTAGAGTCATCAGTGGAGAGAGAACTTCAATTGAGAAAATGTCTCCATTAGATTGGCAGGACGTGGGGGCAATTGTGATCAATGATTAATGTGTGAGGACCCAATCCACTGTGGACAGTGCCAGCTCTGGGCAGGTGGTCCTGGGCTGTGTGAAAAAAGTGAGCCTAGTGAGCCTTGGTGATGAAGCCAGTAAGCAGCACTCCTCTGTGGCTTCTGAGCCAGTTCCTGCCTCCAGGTTTCTTCCTGACTTCCCTCAATGATAGGTTGTGACCTGGGAGTTGTAAGATGAAGGAAGCCCTTTCCTGCGTAGGACACCCCCAGTGGAGCTCTTCAGAGTCATGCCCCATACACAATAGCCATATATGAAAGAAAGGGACAGCAGGGACAGTGTGGAATGTGGAAGAAGGCTGGCACTACACTAACTACAATAGGTACAGTATATGAGCTTACAGGTGCAGCTGTCTTCTGGTGTCCTGAAACTTCCTTTGCCCTCCTCCCCTCTCTCCACCTCTTTCCTCTTCCCTCCTCCCCTCCCCCTCCTCCTCTCTTCCCCTCCATTCACTGTCTCTCCATCTCCTTGTTTTCCCACCTCCGTTCCTTCCTTCCTTCCTTCCTTCCTTCCTTCCTTCCTTCCTTCCTGTTGCTTTTTTAGATAGAATTTCACTATGTGGCCTAAACTGGCTTCAGAACTCCTTATGAGGTGTGGGTGATCCCTTATTTCTTAGCACGGAAGAGTTTGGGGCTTATAGTGGCCACCTTAGTGTCCTGTTCCCTTCTCCTCACCCAGATTTTGGTAGCTGTCACACACAAGGACTGGAAAGTCAGTGAGAGCCATGCTGTAGTGAACCCAGGTTGTGGCGTGACTTCATGCTACAGCATTACGGGTCCAGCCTCCACACCCTACTGTGTGAGTGAGACCCAGCATGTATGTGCACTACTCCATATAGAAACACAAGGACTGCCTTGCAAGCATGCTGCCCTTAGCAGGAAGTCAGAGTCAACCATAAACATTTGTTAAACACCTCCTCCCACAGGCATCAACAAAACATGGCACATGTAGTTGAGGTAGAACCACCTTTTAAAAATTAAGAAGAAAAGATGTACTCTGGAGTTTTCTCTTTTTTGTTCCATGTATCATTTTCCCTCATTTTTTTTGGTTCCAATTTTTTCCTCTTTCCATAGTCCATCTTAAGATCTTCTAGAGCTCTCTTTTCAGAGATGCAAAGCTGTTAACCCAAATCCATGTTGGGGAGGTGCAGGGAGGTCGGTAAGATCTCTGTGTTTAGGCTCTGCCTAAGAGGGCTCTGATCAATTGGGTCTACAGAAGACCCATTAATTTGCTTTTCTATGAGTGATGATGGCTATCAGATGACAGAGATGCCAGTCTGGGGATGCCTCTTGAGGAACCACTAAAGAAAGAGACTTAGGAATGTCAACAAGCCTTTCTATCCTTTGCTATCTTCTTGCTAGTAAATAGGCTGTTAATGTGATGAGTTCATCTTTGGAACCCTGAGGCTCACAGAGTAAGAGAGAAGCTAGGTCAGCCAGCCCAGTGCCTCCCCCCCCCCCAGGCCATGCAGTGCTCCCTCGCTGCTTTTTAGTACCCCGCACCACATGAAATCTGTGCTTTGAACCCACATCTGTTGCTATCTAGCTGTTGTTAAGCAAGTTAGTGTTGCAACTTCAGAAATGTGGTATGCAGGGCTATCGGCACTTCCTAAAAAATAAGTTATAAAACAATTAAGGCGTATCCTGGAAGAGCAGTGTTCATATCCCCCTTAAAAAGTGGTTTAGTGGGGCTGGAGAGATGGTTCAGCTATGAAGAGCAATGGCTGCTCTTCCTAAGGTCCTGAGTTCAATTCCCAGCAACCACAAGGCAGCTCATAGCCAACTGTAACGAGATCGGGTGCCCTCTTCTGGCAGGCAGGCAGTACACCGTATACATAATAAATAAAGGAAAAAAAAAAACTTTATTTCAAAAAACAAAAAAGTGGGCCAGCAAGACAGGAGACCATTTTCCACTTCTACCTAAAGCTGCTGACAAGTGCTTATAGCCCTCAGCCCGGGGAACTTCCAGGCCTTCTGGAAGTACAACCCATGGCAATCAAAAAGAAGGGGGAAGACAATTTTGACAATTGGGCTTCTCCTTGCAGCAGAACACAGTGGCTATGTTAGGATTACTAGTGTGATCTCTTGTCAGAAGCTCCAAGGAGTTTCATCCATGTAATATTAAATTTTCATCAACTTCTAAGTACACAAAAGCCACCCACAATCTAACTCACAGCAACAGACAGCCTGATGGTGCTAACAAAAGACATATGTAGGGTATGCAAATACTACCCTAACCCATGAGCATATATGCCCACTTCTTCCAGATAGATAGTCTTACGTCTTGTGGGCCCCGAGAAACTATGCGAGACAACCCGGTGCTGTTTTGTTCAAGTACAGGGAGTGAGAAAGGAAGTATCTGCCACTCCCACATTGGACCTGGATGGTCCCTTAGCTCTGTCCTATTGGTACTTACAGATGGAGGACTGTGTGGACAGCAGCTCTGGGCCCTGCAGGATGTTTAGCTGTTCCCTTGAATTCTACCCTCTAAATTTCCAGCACCATTCCTGGAGTATTAGAAACTAAAAGTGTCTCTAGGCTTTGCTAAATTTTGTCCACTGGGGGGCAAAACTGCCCCCTGTTGAAAAAGCTGTATTCATTATATTGTTATATGCAATAGTAACTTTCCCAGAAATATGTTGAATGAAATTTTAAAGGATTATTATATAAATTATTACCAAGAAAGGAACATAATAGTCCAATTTGAATGTTTGCCCATAGTTGTCTTATAAAAATGTCAGAATATGCAGCAAAGTAATTTTTTTCAGGTGAAACCAGGCCCTTCAAAGGGTCCCCTCCTGGCAGGAAGAACTGTGATGAGGTTGGGATACTCTTCACTTAGCCAGTCCGTTAGCCACCTCAGCTCTGCCTCTCTTCTCCCATCAGCCAGGAAAGCCCTATTGCCATTATCAAATCTTGAAACAACTCAAAATATTGATCAAAACAGTGAATATCTAATTCCTTTAACCTTCTTCTGAGATAACTGTTCAGAAAAGCATCTTACTGACCAGAAGGAACCACCCATGTGGGAGGTGTGTATGTTGGGGTGGGATGCTTGGCAATCTTTTGCCTGAGTTGAACTTCCTTTGGTAGCATGAGTCACATGTTTATTTCTCCAGCTTCAGAAATACTGGGGCCAGGAAGATTAAAAGACAGTGGTGGTGGAGTAGAGCCCTCTCTTGGCATCTGTGACTGAGTTTGGCTGTTCCTAAACCCCATGCATTTTACAAGAGGAGACCCCCTCACACACACACACACACACACACACACACACATTTCCCAAGCATTTCAACTGTTTCAACTACAGACTGGCCCATTTCATTTTCATTTCAGCATTACTTAATTTCCTTCAAATCACACTCTTCACAAAATTGTCTTGGTGACTTCAGACTCCAATTACTCTTTGTATCACTACTGCAGGTGACTGAAAATAGTTTTCCCTTTGGGTTCTGTTAAAGGAAAAATGATTTGACATTTGTTACATCGAGGAAAAAGCCCTTGTTGGGAACTACTGCGGTAATGGAGAGAGACTGAGCCTAGCTGAGTCTGAACACAGGGGGGACAGTGACACTTAGAGTAGGACAGGAATGGGACAGAGAAGAGCACAGTGCCTGTGTGCCGACTAAGAAGGACTGGGTAGATGACTCAGTCCTCCAAATGCTCCATATATATGTGTGAAGACCGGAGATGGATATGGTCACCAGCACCCACATACAGAAGCCAGGGATGGCAATGCACAACCATAATCCCAGCACTAGGGAGGCAGAGACAAGAGGGTCCCTGGAGCTCACTGTCTGGCCAACTGAGCCCAGTTGGCAGTTGGCAGCCTCCAGATTCAATGGAAAGGTCCTGTCTTAATAAATACACAAATGAATAAATAAATAGATAAATAAATAAATTAAAAGCATTTGAAGGAGATCCTCTGGCCTCCATATGTTCTAACACTTACACACACACACACACACACACACACACACACACACACACACACACACAATTTTTTTAAAGGAAATTATTTAAGAAGAGACATCAGGAGTCTTGTTAAGACAGCCTAACTGTGGCTGAGGACTAGGGTAGCACTGAATATAGCTCAGTGACAGAGCCCTTGCCTAACACATTCAAGGCCCTGGGCTTGATCCACAGTGCCACAAAATAAATAATAAATAAACAAAAGATAAAAACAATAATTAAAAAAAGAAATAAAATGCCCTCACAGTTCTCTCACTAAAGGAAGACATGGACAAAGATTCACTTCTTTGACCCAAATTGATCATAAAAATTGTCCCAGATCTATTTAGCACAAAATATTCCTGGATATTTGACCAAATCTTTTATCACCCACCCTCAGTGTCATGATGTCAACCTGTCTTGTGCCTTAAGCAAAAGTCCTGCCAAGTTGGCCTTGCCAATGTCCCCCTTACTTACTCACAATAATGTTCCATCTATTGCCCTGCAACCTGCCCTTGCCTAGAAATTGCCGCTTAACCTTTGTAGCACTGGAGTTGAATCAGATCCTGCTTCCTATAAAGCCCCACGGTGGTGGTGAAGAGTACTCAGTGTCCTTCAAAGAACCTGAACAATTGTTTCTTTGGCAGCATCAGAAGAACCAGAGGAAGAGATTGGTCATATTTTAGGGGTGGGAATTCCCTCTAAAGTGAGTTCACTTGATCCATGCTAAGACTGTACTTGGCTGGCCTGGCTAGAGAAAGAGGGACTTGAGAGGTTAAGGTCAAGGCTTTGTCCTGAAGAGGGCTCAGGGGAGCTTGGCCAAGGTTGGGTCAAGGACAGAGTCTTGGACAGCTCTCCCAGTTTCTTCATAGCAGAGACCGCATGCCAGAGTCACTGCCCTCAGGGTCTACTCCCACCCAATCTCAGATCCCAAAGGATGTTTCTCCTCTGTTTAATACCCTCCCAGGTGGACAGATAATGACAGTATACAAAAGACCAAGAGACACTTTCCACACAAGTTTTGTCACTCTACCTATGATAATTCCTAAAATTCAAGGTGTAGCAACCAAGTGTTGCCCCAGAAGCCTGATGAGAGAATATGGCTTTATCTGTGGGCTCGGAGGGTAGCCAGTCTAGAAATGGGGTAGGAAAATGAGCTTCTATTCCAGGTCCTTCATTCTGCTCTCAGGCCTTTAAAGTTCGTTGTAGACAAGAGCCACAAGTACTTATTCACTCAATAAATCTTCAGAACTGTCCAAGACTGTCCTGACACCATCCCCCTGAAGGTTAGCATCAACTGAAGCCACACAAAAAGTAAAGGATGAATAAAAATGCAGGTTTCTCTTCAGTGTTGAGTTTCTCAGCCCTGTAGAGAAGGGACAAGCCTGAGGCAGGCACATCATGGTACCCATAAGCCCCACCACAGTCCTTGCCAGCACCAATGACAATTCCCAGTTTTGCATAAAACTCTACACAAATAGTATTTCGTTGTCTATCCCAAAGAAGTCCCTCCCATACATCACTGATATTGCAAAACCACAGTGAAGACCCACTGGGCACAGAGATGTGCCCCTATGGTCTCAGGAGGCTGAGGCAGGAGGATCATAAGGTTGAAGGCAGTCTAGAACCCACAACTTCTGGGCCAGCTTAGACTACATAATAAGATCTCCTGTCAGAGCAAAATGACACAAACTGCAAACAAATCAAAGACTGTAGGTCTGGGAGATAGACTAAGACCTAGCTGTGTCAGTCAAACCACTGACTGCACTCCCTTGCTGTGCACGAGACTAACAAGAAGGCACTATGACCTGTGTTTGGCAGAAAGGCAGCCAGAAGAGGGGAGTCCAAGGGCACACGATAAGGAAGTGCTGCTTTTTGTTTCCAAGGTTCTCCTCCTTCCCCTGGCAGGGGTGTGAACAGGTAGAGGATGATCTCAGCAAGGTACAGTCCATCTGCCAGGACTGCAGGAGGAAAAGAGGTTGCTGAGAGCCAAGAGAGAGCCTTGTATTGTATCACAGCAAGTAACCTGCAAGTGTCTCTAGGATTTTGTTTTGTTTGTTTTTGAGGAACTCATGAGAACCTGCAAATCCTGCAAATGTGGTTTCATCTCTGGGGAATTCTGATCCCTTGTTGAAAAACTGAAATGACAAAGTCTGAGAGCCATCACCTACCTAGGTTCCCTAAAAATGTGGTTTTTCTTTTTAAGGAGACAAAAAATACTAGTAAAGGAAAAGAATAACATTGAAGACTTGCTTGTGCCAAATGCTCTGCATGGCCCTCTGTGGCCTGTTTTGTGAGCACTGCAGTTTTAATTGGCATCTATTGGCGTAGACATTATCTACGTCTAAAGGTCAAGGTTGTGCTTAATTGTGAGATTAGATGAGTCTCTGTGAGTAAGGCAGCCACTTTTCAGTTGCTTGTTTGTTTATTTGCTTTCAATTCTGGGGGTTCTTGCAGGGCTTCTTGCAAGTTAATCAAGGCTCCTACCCCTGAGCTACAGCCCTGCCCCCATACTCATTTTATTTTTTATTTGGAGAGACATGCTCTCCCAAGTAGCTAGGGTGATAGGTCTACACTCCAAGTTCGATTTACTATCTCTAAGTTGTTTTTGTTTTGTTTTGTTTTCTCTAGCCTGAAAATCTCTTGTACTACAGTCAAGACGAGGAGTCCAAAATAATGATCAGTGACTTTGGCTTGTCAAAAATGGAGGGCAAAGGAGACGTGATGTCTACAGCCTGTGGGACCCCAGGCTATGTTGGTAAGAACAGTGTATGTGTATGTGCATCCATGTGTGTCGCCACGATATTGAGATGTCTCCATGGTAATGTCATCTTCCTCCTGAAGCCTTGGAGCCCAGCACATATCACAACTTTCACTCGAAGGAAAGATAAAAATACTGAAAGACACCATAGCAAGTTAGCAGCGAAGTGATTTCCCTGAAACCTTTTAGCAGTTGGGTGGAAACCCTGTTTGATTTGGTTGTGGGCCTGACTGGAGTCTGAGAGCAAAATGGGATGGATTCCCAGGTTCTAATTCCAGAATTAGCGAATGTGTCTGCTTTTGGGTGATTTACAGTGAGGCATTGAACCTACAGTAAGGTGCAGGCAGACTCAATAAAACGTGCAAATGTTGAGGATCGATGCAGCCAGAGAGGGCATACTTATATGAGAAATATGGAAGAAGCCATAAATCATCCTCTCAAGTCTACTCACCCTGCTCTGGGCAGGCAAAGCCAGAGATTATGATAGTTTTTCCTAAAATCAAAACTGCACTTTTCTTCTCGCTACTCATACAAAATGCAGAGAAGGCCACTGACAGCTGTGAACAGTTGGTCACTGAGACTCACCGTCTGTTTTCTGGAGAAAGCCCACAGGGACTTTGCTAACTTGCTGTTACTGTAAGAAACACCTGACACGATCATCTTATAAAGAGAAAAGGTTAATTTTGCCTTGTGGCTTTGGAGGTTTCAGAATGCGAGTGCTTGGCCCTGTAGCTGTTGGGCTTGCAGCAAAGCAGCACGGCATGGCAATAGTATCTGGGAAACAAAAACAAAAAACCAAAACCAAACAAGCAAAAAGACCCAAACATTTACTATGTGACTGGGACAAGAAGGGGAAAGGGTGGGATATTAATAACCCCTTCAAAGGTGTAACCCCAGTGACTGGGAAACCCCACAATAGGCCAACTTCAGCGTTCTGCCATCTCCCAGAAGCATCACATGCTGGGTACCAAACCTTCACATGTGAGACCTTAGGGAATGCTTATCCAGAAAACTGTTCATGTCAGTGTATTCAATCACTTATCAAGTACATACTCAGAGCCTACTGTATCCCCAGCACAGTTCTCATGGAGTCTTATCGTCTTCATGGAGCTTGCTTAGTAGCTGAAACAATAGACCACAAAAAAGAAACAAATGGGCAAGGTCATTTCTGATTGTTCTGAGGGAAATGAAGCCAGTGGCAGTCAATGGTTAGTGACAGGGACTAAGGAGGACTTAGGACTGTGTTGAGAGAACTGGGGAGTTTGGGCATTCACTTGGATGACAGAAAACAACTAGTCAACTGGAAGTTAGAGAAGATGGGGTCATTCTAGGCAAAGAAATAAGCTTGGTAAAAAGTTAAAGGTGGAGACATGGCAAGATGGTGTGTCTGAGCGCGAGACTGGAAAATAAAGACCAAGGCTGAAACCTTATGCAAACTTTGAAGGTCTTTCTTTGTGAGAGCAATGTGTGCACTAGGCATGGTGTCACATTCAGCATTCCCAGGACTGGGGGTTGGGGAAGTAGGGAGACAGGAAGAAATGGAGTTTGAGGCCAGTCTGGAATGTATAGTAAGATCCTGGCAACATAACAAAACGAACAAACAAAAACAACAACAAACAGGAGGAAGTGTGAGAGATGGTAAAGAAGGAGAAAGGGAGGGAAGGAGGGGAAGGGAGGGGAGGGAGGGGAAAAGAGAGAGGGGAGAAACACTGTAAGCCTCCCTAAAGAAGGGAGATTAGTATTACACAGCCTACACCATTCCCCTGAGTCTTCCCAGGGAGCCTTCCCAAAGGGCTGAGATTCAGTCTAAAACCCATTGGTCTAGAGACAGCAGGACACTGTGGGGAGTTCCCAGTGACCTTGGTGACACTCCATGGTGTTTCATAATTACATTGTCATATCAAAATTGATATGACACTGCAGTTTCATTTTTCAAGTTACTCAGAGGAGGGAGGCGGAGGGGAACAGTACATACGATGAGGTAAGGGAAAGGAGGAAGAGGTTTAGAAGGATGGAATCCTCACCGAAAGGATGTGCCAGACTGGGAAAAGACACCAGTGGACTCATGTCCCATCCCCGGACTGTGAATATGCACTGACTTGTCTTATGAGTGTGAAGACAAGAGGGACTGTGGGTGGAATGCATGGACTGTGGAAAGCCAGTTGTATGAGCTACATACAAGCTCATGTCAGCTGGAGCAGAAATGCGAGGGTACGTAGAGTGTGTATGCAGTTTCTCCTGCGTGCTGTCTACACTATCTGGCAAGCAGCAGAGGAGTGAATGGAAAGCATATCCTTGGCAACTTTGAGAGATGAGGGACTCTGTGGACGGGATGCTCTTCCACCCACCATAAATCATAGGTAACAGAAATAAAACAGCCTCTAGCTTGTGTTGTGAGATTCAGTCTAGCAGTCAAGAAGGTTCTAAGTCCCCAGGTCTCAAGCCATCTTCTCCAGGCTGTTTAGGTGCTGTGGTTCGGACCAGGTTTTTGCATTCTGGTTTTTGAGCTGAGACCTAACTGCTCTTACAGGATATTTTTACTCACATATGCTCCTAGCTGTTCTCATTTTAATTATACTGGAGAGCTCTAGATTGCTTTTTAGCTGCCCTGTGTGGATGGCAGTCTCCCTGTTTACAGGTGGCTACCACCTGCATGGTTTGTTTTGATTTGTTGCCATAGCTAGAGCTGATGGAATCAGAAACAGTGTATGAAGTATATGCTTGAAGGATAGATAAGAAGTCCTTGTGTGATTTTATTATCAGCTAAGGAGTGCTTCGAGAGCAATAGTAGTATAGCTACTGGATTTGGTCATATTTACTGAGTACCCAGAGTGAAAAAGGGCTCAAGTCTCTATGGTCTTTGGACAGTTATCAGCCAAAGTGGATCTTTGCCTGTCCCAGTCTCCATACATCCATCAAAACCCAGCTGAAATACTACCCTCTTCTGGCTGCTGCCCTGCCTCATCCTCTCCTTCAATGTCCTAATTCCTTCCTTCTCCCTTCTCAACACTATGGCTATGATCACATTGAATATGGGTCCCTGTCTATCTGTGTCTCTTCACTACACTCTGGTTTTTGTTCTCTAGCAAGGGCTGTGTCTAACTCATCTTTGTATGGATGCATTGTGAATTGCATACAAAGAGCAGAGGGCCCATGAATATTTTTCTTCTCCTTCCATTAATTCATTCAAAACACATTTATTGAATTCTAACCTATGCACTGTGAAGAGTGTTTGATGTTCACAACAGGGTAGAGGTTCTGACTCAAAACATTCAGTGTTGTGAGAAACAGAAGGCAGCAGGTAATTTTAATGGTAGTGATGCAGTTATGGTGGTACATGCCTGTCATCCCAGCAGTTGAGAAGTGGAGGCAGGAAGATTCCAAATTTGAGGTCAGACTGGGCTACATGACAAGACCTTGTTTCTATGAATTTAAAAATGTTTTGTTGCTATGTTGTTCATATATTCAATAATTAAATTGTTTAATATCTGCCTTCTGTTTGAGGGATTCTAACAGAATGAAAAATATATTAGGAGAAAGAAAAAACAAATCAGGCAGAAATCCTCTCTCGTGTGTGTCCTTACATTTAGAGAGAAGGAGTATAGGTAAATAACTAAGTAATTTCGTTCCTTTGTTATCTCAGTAACATAGATAAGGTGTGTGTGTGTGTGTGTGTGTGTGTGTGTGTGTGTGTGTGTGAAGAATGTGCATGCAGGTAGAAGCCAGAAGACAACTTCAGGTGTGACTCCATAGGTCTATCCACTGTATGTCAGCTAGGCTAGCCCGAGTGACCGGTGAGCCCAGAGGTCCTCCTACTGCCTCCACAGTTAGGCTTACAATCTTTCACTGCCACAACTGGCTTTTTTTTGTGGGCAAACTAGGAATAGAGTTCTGATCCCCATGCTTTTACAGCAAGCATTTTATTGACTGAGCCGTCTTGCCTGCCCCTACATATCCTTTTATAAAAGGGAGATGTGGCCCATGAGACAGTGTCACTAAAGGGTGATTATAAACATCCCTCCACCCCTAGCACCGAGATCCTATTACATGTAGCTTGAATGACTTATTCCATCTAACCCAAGGACAGTGTGGCAAGGTGTACAATACAAGATGTATGTATGGTTATGTATTTCAAATATAGCATAGCTAGTGTATTTCAGGAGCAAACTGTAAAGTCCTGGAAAGAAAAAGGGGTCATCAGTAGCTAGCACAATCAAGAAGAAAATTCTGGAAGAACTGATGAAAGGTGGAGCTCAGGCAAAGACAAGGAGAGCTACAGTTGCCACCCAAGCCCTGGACATCCTTCTGCTGTTATCTGTATGAGAAAGGACCACACTCCTTTATCTTGGAGAACCAGATGCTGTAAATAACTCTTTATGGTAATGATAATGAGGAGAAATGATTGCCCCACCTGGTGGCAATGAGCTGCTCAGAGGAATGTGGTGTCCGTCAATGTGACATAGACATAGAGGTAGAATCCATTTTAGTCAAGTGCTCCATTCTCCTTGATGCCACCAACAAGAGGCAAAGTCAGAACTAAGGGATTTATCAATTAGAGTATCTGATCTGTAGACTTAATTAAAATATCCCAGAGAGTCCCCTGAGGTCAGTGAATGTGTGACTGAAGGCATCCATCTCAGTCTTGGAACTGATAAAGACCAGAGTGACAAATATACTCCTATTTGGTAGAAGAGAGCCTAGGAGTGTGTGTGTGTGTGTGTGTGTGTGTGTGTGTGTGTGTGTGTGTGTATGTATTAGGGGTATATGAGGTGCACGTGTATGGCATATGTGTGTGACTATGGCATGGTGTGTATGTGTGTGCATGTATATGTGTCTGTGTGTGCATGTGTATGTGTGCTTGCATGTTTAGTTTTGGTTTTTCATTTGTTTTCGTATTTCACTTTCTCTGCACACTAACATGGTTGCTCAGATTCAAGGAGCACAGTCAGGTCTCCTGGTTTCAGAAAAAAATAAACTTTAAGAGAACTTCAAATATA